TGGCTCCAAACCCTAGCAAGTGGGGAGGAACTCAAAGGCAGGATTACAGCAGGAAAATCTACATGTCTATTTTTAGTTTCACAAGCCTGAGTCACATGTTGTTTTCTTGCACCCTGGACATATGGGGGTTGCTGGAGCCGAGCAGCGGCCTCATCCAGCCTCCACTGAAGACAAAAAGGTACTTTCCCACCACATTCAATGGGATCAAAATCAGGCCACAGAAACAGCCAACTTGTTAATCCTTTCTCTGCCAGCCTGTGGACAGAACCGCTACAGCAACTTTGCTTGCCAGGTGCTGAGAATGGGTGACAAGAGAGGGATCAGGTGATGATCATCCATTCTTTTCACTCCCTCTGGGGCCCCTGGCATTGGCCACTGTCAGCAGACATCGCGCTGGGCTAGATTAACCTTTGATCTGACCTAGTTTGGCCATTCTTAGGATCTAAAATAAAACCTTGAACACATTTCCATTAACTTGATGCAATGTCCCCAGGATCTAATGTGCTGAGATGCTCAGGCTGAGGTGGTACAAGAGCGCAAGGTGTTACTGTGTGATGGCATTCCAGACGCGGGATGAAAATGTTGGAGAGGACTGTCATGACGACGGTCTGCAATATGCAAGAGGGCTCGTGGAACAGTGCAAGATGGCGCACTGGAAAGGTTGTAATTTACTATGATTGTCCTCTTTGTATGCCTGGATCACTTCTATTTCTGGAGTTAGGAAAATGGACCGTAGGTTTATATTACCAGTGTATTTGTGCGAGGTGAAACCTACCACCTGCCCTTCTGGTACAAGCATGAAAAAGCTGGAGAGTGCTGATGGCCCATCTGTAAGAGACAACCAACTGCACAAGAACTTAACCTTTCTAAAAACGTGTGGGTCAGCCTGTGAAGAATGACTACAGGAGTCCTCCAGAGACATGTGACCATGTCACCTGATCCTGGAGTCCATCTTGAATTCTGTATTTTTCCATGAGAAGCTGTGGGGGCAAGGAGTGTCAAACTAGGAAACAACAGACTCCCGCCTTATGCAACCCCTATTTAAGAGTGGGGAATGAGGTAATCCAGATAGTCAGTTCTCCCTACCCACAATGGTAGTTGGAAACAACTAAGACTGATCCGAGGGACGGAACTGGGCATAAGCTGGAAGGGCATCTGGTGTATGAAGATTATGAGAACCACATTTAGGGTGACATTTTGCATGTAACTAGTTTCTGTAGAGGATCGAACGTAGACTACGCGCTTTGCATTATTTGCTTATTATGACACAAAGGAGGGCTGGATATACAGGGAACAGCCTCTGGGGTTTACTTTCCAGTCAGCCTGGTCCCCTGACTCAGCTGTCATTAAGTGGGATGATCCAAGGGAGGCCGCTCAAACATCCAAAGAGACTGGCAAGGGCCAGGACACCAGCCATGCAGGGGAAGGATGGGTGTGGCAGTGACATCACAAAAGCCTGTTGCAGGACCTCAGCCTATTGGGGGAAAGTGACGGGTCAGTGGTGACTTCACAGAGAGACCCTGACATCAGCCAATCAGAGCAGAGGTGCAAGGCAGGGGCAACTTCAGAGATTCCGGTGGCTTGGCGGCAGCGAGGTTCCTTCTCAAGGTCTCTCCCCGAGGATGGAAAAAGAATGAGGATGAATTGATGCAGGCATGAGAGCAGGTGTAGGCAGGCGGCTCCGACCGGCCGTGGGATGGGAGTGGTCCCCTTAGAGTCCGAGCAGGGAACGAGAGAGACTTGCGTCAAGTTATGGCGACCATGTTCCAATCCCTGTTTCAGACAGATTCTTGCCTGGCCCCTTCTTGTTCTCTTGGAGCAGCTGGGGGACAAGTCCTCATGGAGGGCCCTGCCCATATCCTTTGCCCCATGACCCTTGAGGGAGAAAGACTCCTGGCCTCGGGGAGGTTGGGAGTAACAGGAGAATCATGAGGGAGCCTCCCTCTCTTCTCTTCCATTAGACCTTAGCACGTGGTGGCTTAGCTACGACAGTCCATGCGTGACCCACTCCAGGACATTAGCCAGCTGGCCAGGGAGGGGACTTCCCGGCTCTGCAAACTGCTGCCACCCCAGAGGTAAGGAAAACCAGCTGTGAAATGGGGCCCAATGGAAGAGTAACACTGACAGAAGCCAGGCAATGGGACCCCTGGAGAAATGACCCACCTCCCCTCTGAGGGTACGTCTAGACTACAGGCTTTTGTCGACAGAGGCTTTGTTGACAGATAGAGC